CAGCTGCTGGAAGACACTCATATGTTATCAGGGAATGGGCCCAGTGCAGCCTGGCTATCAGTCGTGGGGGTCACCTGGCAACACACTCACCTCCAAGTACTGATGTGGCCCAAGGCTGCAGACACAGCGATGCTATAACACAGGCTGTTCGTGGGCCGGCCACCTGCCCATGGATCAGTTTAATGTTCTCTACAGCCATCACATCCAGGCCAGTGTCATTCATCCTCACCAGGGAGCGAGAGCTGTCTGCTTCAGAGACACGATGGACTCAGACATTTTGGAAAAACAGTGACAAGCTGCCACACTGTATACTTTCTGTGTTACTGGTCACCAACATATGCATATTTGCACTCTCTTGTATTTTGCTCGGAGGAAGAAAATAATTGTGTCAAAAGCAGCCCTGACACTACACTTTGCTATTTTCACCCTGTCGTTCCTCCTCCCTGGTAAGTGTGTGCCTCTAGGCCACCCTGCAAGACATTAAATACACAACTGTGCTAACGTGTTGTGCACCGTGAACTGAAGTCAGAAACCCATTTGACAACTATATTTTTAATTAATCCCGGAAAAAGGATTAAGGCAATTGTTACGACACAGCTCATGAATAACTTTTGTAGTTAGGGGGCATATCAAGGATGTTTTTTCACAAAATTTTTGTTGAACATTGTGAAAAACAATTCATGGATCTTAGTGCAGATCCAAATGAAATTCCAAATTAAGTGAATTTAAATGTGATTATATAGCAGATTCCTCACAAACATTGTTTTAGCTGGAACCGTGAGTAACATCTCTCTGTGTGCAGCACATTTTCAAAATCAAGCATTCTCTGGTGCAGCTCAAACGACTTTTCTTTCCAAATTGATTTTTAGCAGATTGCAGTGAAGGATTTCTCCACTTATCATCGAACCAAAGAAATGCATTTGCGTAACAATTCCCAGAGTGAGTCTATTTTTGCCGGACAAAGCAGAATCACATTGTCTGGATGCGTTTCTCCAAACTTCAAAGTCTGCCCGAACATTAGATATCAATGGCGAACCAAGGAGGACGGTGGGGCCCACACACCGTGGCCTAGCTCCAGCACCAGCAGCATGATCTGGGCCCCTTCCATCTGCTGCCCTTGTCCTGTGTGTGTGTGTGTGTGTATGAATGTGCATGTGTGTCATCTGTTGAACTGCAATGCCTCTCTGTTTCCCTCTTATTAGGCCTGAAAAGACACCAGATGGCTGGTGGGGGAACAAAAAAATCATGCTCTTCCAAAAAGGCAAGAGGCACTACCCGCAGTCATGGCAGAGCTTTGAAAGACTGAAGACATACATGACATACTTACAAGTACAGAAAGACGCCATAGGTTCCCACTTGAACTCAAACAGCACAGGTCCCCAGAAAGGATCAGGGTGGATTCTTGATATATTGACCCAACACACACGACCTTGACTTCATGGCTACATGGTATGGGCTAATGTCAGGATAGGCACTGTGTGTGTTATCACGTTCTTTTCACAGACTGAACAGTTGAGTCAGCTTTATTTATAGTCCTTTACACAAGCATGTTTGAAATGATTCATATATCAAACACACTCCAAGCTCACGTTCACACTGATGGGTTAAGTGGGGTCCCAGGTAAACCTGGCCAGCACATGAGAACATGAAACCAGGGAAACACACGGTAGCCCGAGGCAAAGCATCTAAGATTTTGGTAATTGTGCTTATTTGCATTCTGTAAAGGATCTGACACGACCTTCATATTTGGCTGTTGAATATGAAGCTACAGCCAACACATGTGAAATAGTCCCTTACGTAAACACGTCACCCTCAGAGGAAGGTAATGAGAGTGTAATGACAGTAACCTCCCACTTTTAGAACAACTCTGATGCTGGATGTAAATTTTTCATTAATTTCGTGGATTGACATTTCAGAAAATTCTTATTAAAAGAGACTTAAGTCTGGAACCAGACCGATCAACTATGAGATGAATCGAGTGCATACAACATTTTATTTAGAAGATTTGAAAGTAAAGGTCCAAGACTGTGTGCATGATCATTTTAACAGTAAAGGAACCATGCATCCCATAAACAAAATTATCCCTTTCCAATAACTTCCAGCACATCATAAATTTAACTCAATGATATATTGTTTTGGGTGTCTTGCATGTATGTATATAGGTTTTCAAATAGTGTAGTTAGTGTTGTTAGCGACATACAGTGCTTCATTCACAACTGCAATCAGGAAATGATGCTCTGTAGTAAACGTTGCGTAACACTGAACGATACGAATGTAGCCCACATGATTAGGTTTTTGTTGAGTGGTTTCTCTGCTTTGTTGAGACATTTTCTCACATTTCTGTTGTTGTAGTTAACCAGGTTTACTGAAGTATTATCCACACACTGCACTAGACTATACAGTAGATAAATATAAATAATGAATAAATCAAATATAAAGACTTAAAGGCAATGGATCCTTTGCCATCTAAATCTAAGCTGAATTGTCTTTGGTTTAAGAAGTCCATTTTCATTATTCTCATACTAATTATTTTGCCACTAACTTCCATTATGCTCCAATTTCAGCTTCAATATGTTCAAACAGCTGGCAAAGAACATATACACAGACCGACCACATCATTAAAGCTGGTTTAAATGTTGAGGCTGATTGGTGTAAACACCCAAAAGTCTACTTTTCAGATCCAACGCTCTGATCAGATGTGACTACAGAGGTCCCTTTTCCTTTTTGTTTCTCCCTCGATGAAGCTGCCCTGAAACACTCATCTGTTCCAGTAAATTGTTCCGCCGTGTGACACACTCATGTTTTTTGATGCAGCACCTCGAGTCAGCCGCGCCAAGGCCGACTGACGGCCTGAAGCCCAAAATACTGCATGACACTTTGCAGCGAAATGTAGCATGCAGTCACTAGATCAGGGCTTTCTTCAGGTTATCCAGGCTTACCGACACGCACGCACCATCGTATTAGCTGCTGCACTCTTAACAGCAATTTAGTGATTTCAATTCCCTCTTGGCTGCCGCCTCCCTCTTTTTTTTTTTCATCAGTGTTGAGGGCAAAATGCAAAGTAGTCTCAGACATAATTAAAAAAAATAAATGTTTAGAGATGTCTTTGTATTGCTCATTTTCATGAATGTAATGCAGTCAACAAAATCTTTTTTTCTCCTTGTGGTCTTGTTTTTCCTGGTGTAATGTCCAGAATCGTCGTTCCCTCCAGGCGGCCCGCATCTTCCTGTTCCAGCCCTCCCGGAGGAGCTCCTCTGAGAGCCAACTCTGGTCTCCTCCAGCCTCAGAGGAGGTGAGCTGGGCGTGGGTCATGTTTTTTTAGATCCTCAAACCAGACGCTGTCTCACCTCCACAACAGATGCGCTCTTTATTCAGTGACGCATGAAATTCAATGGTGGGATTTTTAGGTGGAGGGAAATGTTTTGGCGAATTTTGCTTTGGGGAAGTCTCTGCCAATCACTGACGCTACAGTAGCATCTGGAGACATACCGTAAGCTGTGGAGTCTCTAAAGCGGCTTTCAGACATGCATCTGTGAGGATGCAAATGGTCAGTTGGTGCGGAGAGTTTGCTCTGCCAGCCCCCTTGTAACACTCTGGATAAGGAAGCCCATGTGAGAACACAGCAGGACATTTCCCGCAGGATTCACCACGAGCGAGTGGGCTTGTTGACAAATAGATAGATAGATGTTCTTTATTGATCCCAAATTGGGAAATTATTGTGTTACAGCAGCATGTCAAGGGCATTGCACACTGAGATTGATAAGAGAAGAGCATGCAAAATTCCAGTAGTTGTTTGCAAAGGTAAAATTATGTTTTTAAAATGTGACAGGCACAAAACTGAAAAGAAAAAAGGATATACAAATATCTCAGGATTTAAAAGAGGTGTCATACACATGGAAGACACTGACAAAGGTGTCATTTTAGAGAGACGAGATTCGAGAGCTTGTGGTGATAATGGCAAACGACCCCGGCGTCGGTGTGCTGTAAATAAAAACACAAGAGCTCTGCACGGGAATTTATACGTAACGTCCTGCGTCCTGCATACACCACGATGCCAACCCTTGCTTGAACATAATTTGCTGTTGTTGTGAAAACGTCTGAATGGAGATTCCCCTGCTGCGTTCTTCACATGGGAAAGGCAAGTCTGGACCACATTGTGTGCACATTCTCCACAGCTCTTATGTCTTTCCAAAATAGAATTACTCCTATTTCTCTGAGCATGCTAAAAAAAAACATTGTGTTCATTCCACCTTATTTCCGCAATATGTTTCTGCACGTATGCTATTGTGCAGTCAGTCATGCATGAGGGAATGCTTTATCTGTGACACAATTGCAGCTCTTCCAGAATTAATTCACCGCTGCCAAAACCAGCATATGCTCCTGTCTTATGATGATCCTGCATATGTCCAAGCTGCTGTCTTTAAACGTCTTCATCAGGGATGATGGATCTGTACAGTGAGGTCATAGGTGCATCTGCCAGCTGCAAAGAAAACTGACCCGGTCTGAAGCCTGTACAGTTCACCAGTCATTTACACAGTTTACATCCTGTAGAGGAAACACATACGTCGCTCCCTCTCTTCTTGTCTGTAACCACTTCTTCTTCTCCTTGAACTCCTCGTCTCTCATCCCTCTCCTTCTATCCCTCACTCCCTGAGCAACTTCCCCATTCCCCCCTCTCTCTTTCCCCCACTGTGTATGTGTGTCTCTCCATCCCCCCTTCTCCTTACAGTGCTGCAGCCCACCCTGCTCCCAGCTTTAATGGTACATGCCATTAGAAAGCCCATCTCTGGAAGGGAGGAGGGAAGGGTGGTCTCAATCTCAGCTAAGAGGCTACTTTAGTATCCCCCCCCCCCCCAACATAAGCACATTCACAGATGTCTCTGCACGCGTACAGCTGTCTCACCCGTCACGGCAGAGCAGAGCAGCCTCCGTCTGAGTGTGAACCAACGAGCCACGGACAGGGGGACAAACAGAGAGGGACAGCAGCAGGGTGATACAAAGAGAAGTAGAAGAAGGGGGGGAAGAAGAGGTGAGGAGCCGCGGAGCAAAAACACATACATCGCTGCCTGGGAGACTCTGACGTCTCCCCTCATGCGTCTGTTTCAGCGCGTGTGAGCGCAAGAGGAGCAGAGAGGAGCAGAGAGGAGGGGAGGAGGAGAATAAATCCTGGGAGCTGGTGTCCTCTCTTTGCTCTGTATCACCTTCTTCTTCTTCTTTCTTTTTTTTTCTTCTTTATCTCCATCATCCAAGGCATGAAGGGGGGTGTCCGCTGGCACGGCAGAATAAAAGAAGGGGATGCTCTGAACGCTGCCTGTCTTTCGACAAGGGACAAGGAAGAGGAACGGGGGGACAACAGCACACGGCGGGGACAAAAACAGGATTTCTAGAATGAATGGGAGTCCTTCTGCCGCCTGCACTGGGAATAGCAGTCTCACACTGAAGTCTCTTGAATGAGGTAAAACCTGGTGATGCCACTTTGTCTTTCTGTTCTGTTTCTTCCTCTGATTGGCTGACGGGGTCAGAATCAGGAGTGAGAGGCTCTTTGAGAGCACGAGCTTGACAGAGAGGAACCGATTTCCATGCTGATCAGGTTTGGAGGAGCAGCGGCGGGGAGATTGCCATCTTTGTCCCCGTGTTGCCGTGAGCAGCAGCACGGTGGAAGTGAGGATGGGATGATGGTGGTGGTGCTGGGGATCTATGCATGTTGCATGCCGCAGAGAGCGGCACGAACCCGGGGGTAGAGGAAGAAGAGTCAGTGTCAGCCTGATGCATCGCTGGTAATCCTCATGATGAGCGTTTGGGTGCTGAGATAGCAGAAGGGCATGGGAGAGATTCGCTCTCACAACAAGGACCAGCAGAGACAGTGCTGCACCAGGTCCGGTTGGAATTTGGGTTCTGTTTAGAAAGACACGTTTACTTTGATTTCAGCTATTTAAAAAAACGTATGAGGGAAAGAGGGGATTGAAAGAAAATGTGTGTGTGTGTTTATTTGAAGTCAGACAGAGCTTTTCCACTGGTGACCCTAGGGAGCAGAACACAACCTTCCAGACAGCAAATAACAAGTTGTCCACAGAAGCGAACAAACGTGGGGCATTGGCTTGAGAAAAAAGGGGGAGTTGGAGTTAAGTGGGCTGTAGGTTTGTATTTCTGACACCTGCCTCGGAAAACCTGGGGCAGTGGTGGAGGATGTTCTCCTGTCCGGCACAGGTGCACAGGCAACTTTCCTCCTCAGTCCTGAAAAGAAAAGGACAATCATAGTGTTCCACTAGTGATACAATGAGAAATGTCCAGAGGAGAAGCAGGAAACCTTGTCGTGATGGGGGAACAGCAGTGAAATGTGCATTGGCGATGTCAATATTGCAGGTTCCAGTGTTTAATTATATGTATTTCTTCGGTTAGCAGGGACTCTGAGTCGTCTGGGTGGAAAACCGTGCTCACTGCTCCAAAGGTCTGGGCAGGAGTCATAAGGCGTTATTCATGTGTCATCACAAATTGCCTCACTCTTTTAGGAGACAGGGTATTACGCTGACACCCATCGTGACATCAGGCATATTGGACAAACACGCTTTCTCTCAAGCTCTTATTTTCACATTCAGGCCACTGTGTCTGAGAGGAAGGGCATCCAACAATGAAAAGGACGGATTGAAGATATTTCTCTGTTGTTTTTTGTGGAATTATTAGAATTAAAATGCTGTTAAATAGCAATTTGACCGTCACTGAGCCTAATGGTGCTGAGAGAATGTGTATTATATGATTGAATAAACTCAAACCTCTGGTCACTGCAGGTTGTGTATAAAACCACACTGGGAAATACAATCAAATAAAACAACAACCTTTTCCTGCGTCGACAACTGATCTGACTTTTGTGATCTTCCCTTTCTAAACTGCCTCATCTGTTTCAGTCTGCACATACATGATCGCAGCAACACCTGGCACCTGCTCCTCAGCACATATAGTAGCCATGAGCTCTTGTGCAGTGAAGCCGTGTGTGTGTGCATGTCTTTCTATAGTTATGGGGGACAATGTTTGTTCAAAACCATCATTTTGAGGACAATTTTTACAATGTGAGAACATTTTGGCTGTCCTCACAAATGCAAAGGGCTGTTTGAGGGTTAGGGTTAGAATTAGGTTATGGTTAGGCATTTAGTATGAATGGTTAAGGTCAGGGGCTAGGGAATGCATTATGTGAAAAAGTGTCCTCACTAAGATAGTAGTTAAGTACAAACATGAGTGCGTGTGTGTTCCCAGCTGTTTCTCACACGGGTGTTAGCATGCTTCCATAGCGCCGCACTCTCTGACCGTGTACAGTACATATTTAGTTTCTGCTCAGTTTGCCAATGTCAGCAAATAACATCCAGATCTCATTTATGGGAGCAGACAGCTTGTCATTTCATTCTGCTTTCATGGGTCCCTCTGTCGCCTTGGCCAAACAACACACAAAGTGCTGAGGGGCCAGAAATACACACCTAATGTGGCTGCAGTTCTGCTACTGTAAATCATGGCTCACAGCATAGAATAGAATAGAAAAAATGATACAATATGTTTGATTGATATAAGCATTAACATGTACTAAAAAATATAACCTAAAGTTGTTTGTTTGTATGTTATAACTGCATGTCTTCACTGACCTAATAAAAGTAATTACAGCATTTCATTTTGAATCAATTAGGAAAAAGCGTTAACTCTCCACCCTCAGCAACAAGGTCAAGAAAGGCTGAATATTAATGTTATTAATGGGTCTTTTCCCTTTACTCAAGTGTGCAGTGATTGTTGGGAACCCAGAAACTCAAAGACCAAACAAGCTGCACTTCCACACATTTCATTTTTACACAAAGCTTCTCTTTAAAATGTATCGTGGCTGCACATTATAATTTCACACCATTAGTGACAATAAGCGCCCTTAATCGTTAAGTGGTACCAATTTGCAAATACCATCCAGTAAATGTCATTGTAATATACATGTTATACAATACATGTTTGTTATCTCAAAAAAATGCACGTGTTGCGTGTCCATATGTTGAGTTCACATGTTCATCACTGGTAGTTCATTTCACACATGGTTGCACAGTGTAATAATGTGTACGAAGCCCGACAAGACAGAGGGATTAGGACTTGCACAAATGTTTTGCAAGCTGCGGAGGTTTGAAAACAGAGGGCAGCATGTGGGTGCGTGTAAAGCACGTCTACCTACACCCAGAGCTTGTTTTTGAACCCAACTCCACTGGGCAAAACTCACTCGTGTTTGATGTCTGTTCAGTGTGTGCTGTAGGTTTTCTCCTTGAAGGTGACTGAGCTTCTCTGCAGATTCAGCTGTGAAGCTGTCCAGCCTTAGGCAACAGAGGGGTGAAGCCGCCGACATAAGAATAAATCCTTGCCTTTATCACGTACAATAGGTACTCTATACAGCTGAACAACCCACGGTAGGAAGCATATGCAGTGCAGTATGTGATTTAGTAAATATAGGTACTAGAGTTAGTCTTTTATATAGCGCTCTCACATCTGGCTATATTGTTAATGTGGGCTTTGGAGAAACACAGTTAAACTGAAGGATGACTTTGCTCGCAGCCTATGAAGACAAATCAAGTGCAGTGATTTCCACGGGGACATTTCCCCTGGTTAATCTCCACAATCATGATTATTAACCATAATTCTACTACGGTCTGGAGGAGTTGCATGTTGACAGCAGTCAAGTGCAGGATGTCAGAGTTATGTGCTGTAGTTTGCATTTGATTACACAAAAACTGCTGCTGCAGGTGCAAAAAATAAAAATCTGCCTGTTTTCTTATTTGCATTTTTGAACCTCGAGAATTTCTAGTGTTATTCTTCTTCTTTCTTATTACCGTGATAAAGTAATTACAGTGGATGGAACAGGACAATGTATTCCAACTGGCTTAGGCCAGGTTAACAGTGAAAAATCAAATCAAAGGGTATCATCAGTTTTAGCTTTGATAGATAGATAGATAGATAAAATAAACTGTATGAGAGGGAGAGAGAGAGAGAGAGAGAGTTCAACATGGTGCAATATGTGTAATTTTCTAACCAAATTTTCCGTATAAATCCAGTATAGTATGGAGAAGCAGTTCAGTTGAATTTAGAGTAAGAGGTCATCTTGCAACAACAAAATGAATTCTCACTTATATACAAAAAACCAAGCACTATATATAAGTCACTCTGGTAAGCAGTGTCAAAAGCTGAAGTCTAAATTGTGTGGAAAATATGTGATGGCATGACCATGTTCCATGATGCTTAAAAAGGCTTAAAACATACTGTGTGCGCACCCTTTAAAATGAACAGCTTAGAAGCAGACTAACAGCAAAATGAAGACTAAGAGCAATCTGTTGGGCCTTGCAGCAGTGATGTTGTACCTCTGTGGATTACACTCCATGGGACACTTAAAATCTGTCTGGCTGCCCATTAAGACAGCCACTATCCTGGCTCATTAATGTCCTGCGGAGGAATTAGAGTAAACTGTGCTCCACAGACTGGTGCTGGCAGTGGCTCTCTGCCTCCTCTCCAGCAGCTTTCCTCCCTCCAGGGATGGCAGTTGTTTTGCCCGAGGTACATCAGAGCAGCTTCGAGTGACCAGCTACGCAGAATAATTAGATGTTCAATTCCTTCTAACCACTTTTAGCTTTTGAATTCATCGTGGCCTTTTTTTCCAAGCAATTTTTCAGCAAAGGTTGCCAAATATTATCACAGTCAGTGTACAGCATCACCATTCACTTATGTTGAAAAACAGGTAGAATTGAGGATGTAAGAGGGCTGGTATGACCGTGTGGAGGTTGTCTCTGAGGGGTTTTCTCCGGGTACTCAAGCTTCTTTCTGACAGTCCACATGCAGGCTGGGGATTGTGTTTATTGGAAACTCTATTTTGTCCTTTTCCTTTTTGAAAACTCTTCACGACTTTACATTATTATTTATTGCGTTGCGTTTCATGCTAAGAGTGGAGATACTCGGGTTAGAGCGTCAATAAAATGAACAACATAATTTTCTGTTTCACATGCAGGGATTTGCTGCCGAGGCTCGTGAGGCTGTTTACTGGTTCAATCAGAAATGCTGCACAAAATTCAAATAAGTTTCCCCTTCTTGGTAATGATTTTTTTTTTGTGGGGTGGGAATGGGGGGTTAATCTCATTTTAGTATTTGTGGTTACCCACGGTGTCCGGGGGCAGAACTGTTCTGCTAGGAAAAAAAAGAAGAGGGTATTAGGGACAGCTGGCAGTGTGGTATCAGTTGTGTTCATATTCATCAGGCCTGCGAGAGATTACGAGACGGAGCAGAGATGCAACTGGGGGCGGTGTATATTATGTGCAGTCACATAGTGTACAGTATACATAGGCACACACACACAGTGTACAATATTTACAAGCACAAACAATAAGCACAGCTCCTGACCCAGCCCTGCAGCTGTACCTCCCCCACTGTCAAACCATATTCTGCCACACGCAGTGACCA